CTGCGCGATGGGCGTTGCTTGGTAAAAAAAAACTGGGCGTTACCACAAAAACACTATGTGGCACGGCAAGTTTTTGGCGCGTTAATGACAAAAATGAAGTGAGCCGCAATATGTGGAATGTGGCATTGCGGTTACTCAGCCACGAGGCGCTAGGCGCGGTTAAAAAAATGTGGCACACGTGTGCAAGCAGCGAGCGCACCACTGAAACATTGAATTCATTTAAATTAAGTTGCAAATTATGCAAATGAAACGGGCCACCGAAATGGAGTAGTATATAAAACAGGCTAGGAACTACAAGGCGCTACCAACAGCAGCAGCAGCCGCAGCCGCATCAGCAGTTGCACGTGCGTCCGCTCGTTGCAGGTGGCCGGCAGCCACGCCCACTTCAACGCCCGACTGTCACACGCACGATTTAATTAGTTGCGCCTATTTTGGCGATCAATCATTCAATTTTCTGCACCATAAAGCCAGCCAAACAACGGCTGAAAAAAAAGAGGATGAGGCAAAGGGAAGCGAGCCACTTGTTATGCCACCTTGTTGCAGCAATGCGTAGCAGCTACGCCCCCTTTCAGGCCGGCCCTGTGGACGCAGTCGACTAGCTGTCCAAGGACAAACTGCCTTGTCATTTATGTGCTGTTCGCTTTTGTTACGCTTTTTACGAAGCTGCTGCTGCACCCCCCTCGCTCAATCTGTCACACGCTCGTATGTAAGATTATGTTGCGCTACGGGCTCTGAGCCTTAGAAGGTGGTTGATTTTTGTTGCTTTTTTTTTATGTACTTTAGTGAAGGTTGTTTGGGCCGCAAATTGTTTTATATGAAATAATCTCAAATATTTGTGCCCGCAATGAAATTAGCCAAATTAACACCTAGATCCGAGAAGGCTTAGCCAAAAATAATTGAAATATTTTTTGTTTTAATAAAAGGACCAGACTGAATAAAGGCGCCGGCGACTTTGTTGCTGTGAATAAACCAAAAACAACAACGACAACAACAACAACAATAATGGGAAAAACTTGTATGGATTTTGCGTATGTCCTTTTCGGTTGTGTTCGCTTTTTAGCCCCACTCACTCAATTAGGCGAACGTTGGGCAGTCCATTTGGGCCAAATGCTTTAAGCCATTTTAACAATTTCCATTAACAAATATGCACAAATTGCCTTTTGGCGGTTTTACAAATAAATTGTACAAAAAATATTTTGACAAAAATACTTACATACCCACACGCACAAATACATACAAATACGTACACACACATATATATATCGGACCTATATATATATTTTTGCAGGCGAGTAATATAAAAAGCTGGCGAAACAAAATGCGTGTTTCGGCCATTTTTTGTTCGACCAAAAATGCATGAAATATTTTTGTAAATTATTTTTATGCACTTCATTAAATATTTAAACAATTTGGCCGCCAGCAAGAGTCGAAGTTGGAGTCAGAGGCCGTTGAGCGCCGCAGCCAAGCCATTGCCCAGAGCCACAGTAAGAGCGCAGCGTACTTTAATCAACCGTAAAATGTTGACCTTTTTGTGGAGCGTGGGCGGGGGTGGGCAGGCGAACGGTTTTGTAGCTGACCCGCAACATGCTGTTGAAATTTCAACAGCAGCTTGCCGCGTGTGGTGGGCCTAATGGGCCAAAGCCTAGCCCGAGCACTGTGTGCAGAGTCGAGGCGAAGCCAAGCTGTAGCTATTGTGGAGCTTGAGGTGATTGTGGCTGTGGGTGTGTGTGTGGGTGTGGGCGTGGGGCGTGCACTGCCCGTGTGTGTATGCATTTACATAATTTATGCCCGTGGCGGGCGTGCGATCTACAGTCAGCAGCCATCTTTGGACTTGCAGCCGATTTCATTTGTGTTTTCCACATTTCATTTTATGACATCCTGTGACATCCTGCCGACCGCTGCTCCGGCTGCTGTGCATAATTTCCACGTGCCAAGCTGGCTTTTAATGGCAACTACCGAAAGTATAAATGTGTTTTACAATGTCAAATGTCTGACGAGGCCAGAGAGCCAGAGTTGAGTTGTGAAGCATTTAAATATATATTTATATAGATATAAGGCTATATCTGTGTATTTATCATTTACTTACTATGCGCATACAAATGTATAAATTATTTCATATTCAGTGGCCACACACACACTCATTTTATTTATGCATTTATGCACTACGAAATTCATACACATTTGTTGTGCAAATTTCTAAAGGGACAGAGAGGGAGCGTGAGTCGAGCCGTTTCTCACGCCTCTGATGCCCTTGCCACACCCACCCAACTAGGCAGTGCTGCTTGTAGTTGCGTCCACTGCCAATAAATTCACATCAAAGGTCTTTATTTGTGTTTGCTTAGCAGCGAAAGCCAAAAAGGATGAGCATTGCCATAGCCCGGCCCAGTCCGTCCGCCAGCGGCTGGGCCTGTGCAAATATCATTTTCATTTCAATTGAGCGAGCCGGCTTTAAGCATTACGGCCCTGCGACTGGGATCGGGCGCTAACCTACGACACGCGTGTCATCAGCTAATCCCGGTGCTGCCGCTAAATGATTTTCTAGTTGCCAGGCAGTCCGAGGCAAGGCAAGGACACTGAGCAGCAGTCGCAAAGGCGACTACTTGGCGCACGTGTCGGTTGTTGTTTGGGCCCCGGGGCGGATGTGTGGCCGGGGTTGATATTGCTGTACTGCGAATTGCCGTGCGCCCTGCATTGCAATGAACTCAGCACTTGAGCCGACGCCCTGACAAAGTAACTCCCCAGCATTAGCCGAGTGACCGCCAATGGATTTTTAAATACTCGGCACACGCGTCCCCCCCCCCGCCTCCTACCCGAGCGAACGAGATGCTCAAATTAAACGCCTCGTCGCGACGGAGCAGCTTGAGCTTGCTTCTGCACCATTGCCAAATAAATAACTCAATTGTTTTGTTGACATTTTATTTGACACGTGACTCCGGCTGGTTAGACACACACACACACACACGGCCACACCGTAGCCAGCATCGCCAGGACTCTGGCTTAGTGCTTTGTTCTTTTTGCGGTTCATGTGGCCGCCAACGTCGCAGCACCGCAGCACCGTCGGCAATTAATCTGAAAGGTGTCCATTAAGGCGCACACGCGCCCGTCGCCCATAAAAGATAGTTGCTCGTGCCGATGGTGGGCGTGCCCACTGCCGGCTGCTGTGTTATACGTGTAATAGTGTCAATTTGGTATTTATGGCCAGCCAGGCAAGCAGCCCGGCCAGTGATTTGTGCCATTGCTGCGAGGCTCTTGCACTCGCCTGCTTACCTATTTACACCTTTGCGTCTACAAAATTTATTCATGGCGCCCGGCCCCATTCGGAGCGAGCGTCAAGTGAATTGCGTAAATCTGAATGAGAGCTTGCGAGGCTCAAATGCAAATTTCCTCAGGAAGCATGTAAATGACGAGAGCGTGACACGACCGTAACACGACTCTCACGTATGCATATGGTAATTACACATACACACAAAGAAACTCATCTATATATGCATGTATCTGTGGAGCATATACATTAAACTGCCATATGCTAAGAATTTGATGGAGGAATACCCTTTAAATATATAATTGATATAGAGGGGCATATCAAACTAGGACGGGATGAGATAGTCCAATAATTATTCGACTGCATATACCCCTTGCTGAATTGGAATGCAGGGTATTGCAATGTGCATGACTTGTTTAGTTTGAACAACTTTTGTGCCAACCACTGAGCCCGGTTGCCTATTTCAGAGCCACAGCCCACTGTTTGTTTGCCTGGCTGGCGTGCAAGACTTTTGACTTTCTTCTAAAACAATTTAGCTTTGTATAACGGGCTGTGTGTGTGTGTGTGTGTGCGTACGTTCATGTGGTTGCTGACACAAACCAAAATTTAAACAAAAGAAAAGCTCGAGCAGTTGAGCTCAAGTGCTCAGCACGAGACAAACCTACTAAGACTGTTGGCTAACGGAAACCGCACTCACACTCACACACACACTCGCACACACCCACGCATACCAATACGTGCCCACACAGACACGCATATACGAGCTGCTAAGTGACTCTTGGCTTTTGTTATTCTGGCTCCGGCTGCCTTTGAAGCGGTAGCAGGCAACGGCGGAAAAACTGAAGTATATTGTTAACAGGATATATAATACACAAAATAAAGTTTTCAGCCAAAGTTACACAAAAGTATTTCGCAAGTTGTGCGCCCCATTCAGCACCGCTCCCGTCAACAATCCACCCCGCCCCCGCGCACTCCCTCTCGCTCTGCCCTGCTCTGGCCAAAGCCCGAAAGCTGCATCACCTTTCACTTGCTTTGTGTGTTTGATTTTTGGTATTGTTTTACTTTTGTTGAAATAGAAATTAAATACAAAGGAAATAACCCCAATTTTTTGTCGGTCTGTGTATTTAGCAGCGCCCTCTCGAACACATTTAAGCTTTTTCAAGAATTTTACAATTTTCCCCAACAGAGAGTTTTAGTTTTATTTGGATTTAAATGTGGGATAAATTAAAAATTTTCAGGAAATCAGTGAACTCGAAACGAAACTAAAATTTAAGAGCGAAAATCAAAATGTTTCATTCTTGATCGAAATTCAAGCCATTCCGCATTGAACTGCCTCAAGCTTGGCAAATGCAAATATGTAGAAAGTTCGCTTATTTGGACACTGCTTTCATTTATCTTGAGAGTCTGTCCGTCAGCAACAATGCAAGATGCTGTTAACAGCCAAACTAAGGCAGGGCCAAGAAAAAATTGGAGGAAAGGAAAGAGAAGAAAAGAAAAGGAAATGCTCGTAAAACGGGCAATGGCAAAAGCAAAGAACTGTCAGTGGTGTTATACGAGAAATGTAGCATTTGTCGAGGGGCAAAAATAAATGTTTTCAAATGTTTGACGCGTACTGACAACAAATAAGCACACACACACACACACATATTCAGCGGCTGAAGGCTGCTTGAGTAGCGTACAATACAGTGAGAGATATGTGCATACACACGCACACTCACGCATTTGTCTTGCTGTGTGTGTGTGTGCGTGCATTTAATGTCTGTAATTTACCGTTAAGTAGACAAGTATTAATGGTGAAATACCAACGGAATGCGTAGCGCTGCGCAACTTAACAAACATACAAAACGGCCACAGCCGGAGACAAGACGAGCGAGCGAGCGCCCAAAGGCAGCCATCGAGGAGGAACAAGAGCAAAAAAATGGAAGAAAAAATAAAGAAGCGAAGCCAGCTGAAAACAAAATGGCGACGACGACGACGACAACATCAGTTTGACTTGACGTTGAAGTTACATGTTAACTGTGGCAGTCCACCCCCACGTACAAGCGCACACACACACACACAGAGACAGAGAGACAGACACCCACACATAGACACAAATAAGCAATTGTCAATGTGGCGCGCGCATGTTGCCTCCCCAGCAGAGATGTCAAAATAAAAAAATAAAATAAAAGAGAAAGAAAATGAAACGAAAAAAAAGCGAAACGGAAAAAAGAAAACGCCAACAAATTCCAAAGAAAACTCAACTTTGGATTGTTGGCATTTTTGCTGTGTGCTTTGAATGCTGAAAGCGTAACGGAAGCAGTGGGGAGTGGGCCAAAATCCACCAGAGCTCACACAAGCAAGGCAGAAAACAAGTATGAAGTCGTTCAAACAGCATGAACAAAAAGCAGATACGCTGTAAATAAGAATAGCAGTCAGGTAATGAAGAAAAACTAGTCATAAATATCAATTTGGAGCTGAAATAAATATATGAAATTAAAGGAAATCATTATTACAGTATTTACTTACCAAGAATAACAATTAAATACAGATGCTGGCACGCATGGTCCCTAGTTGATCATGGCCAGTCGGTTGCATTCCTAGTGTGCTGGGTATAAAAAAATATTTGCGCGTTAAAATAGTAGATAAGGCGAATGGTAGGAAAGCAGGAATGACAAAACAAACGCGCCATTTTCTTGACGTTCACCAATTTGACATTTTACGTGATTTTTGGACCAGTGGCAAAAGCAATGGGGTTGGGGGCAAAGGGAGAGGCGCGAGTCATGTGACTTGCCATTTGCTGAAAATTACAAACTGCCAAACTCTGTCTGCGTGCGTGTGTGTGTGTGTGTTGGTGTGAGTGCGTTGCGCTTATGTAATTGAGTTCGAAAGCGGCCAGTTCAGAGGCCAACGGAGGAGCCACGTCTCAAGGCAGCCCCGCCCACTGGCAGCGCCAGCCCAGTCCAAGTCAAGTCAAACCAAACGGGCCAGGCACGAGCACATTTTTCACAATTCATTTCATTTTGCAGCGCGCTCGCTGCAAGGCAACATTATTACAAAGAATATTGTATGGAATAGATGAAATGAAAAAATGGCAGCATAACTTAAGGCGCTTTACCATGAGCACACAAAAAATGAAATACGAAAAAAGAATAAAATCAAAATCAAAATAAAGCAAAAGAAACTCAAATGGGGAGCATCTTAAACAAAAAGACGAACAAATGCTGCACAATAATTTGCTTCAGTGTTTACATTTCAGCTTCTCGTTGTGCCAGCGCAGCAACATTTCCAAAGTCCTGCCAAGAGTTAAGAGCCAAGAGCCCAGAGCCAACAGCCAGCAGCCAGCAGTTCTGGCCGACTAGACTAAGATGGATTAAGATTAAGCCCAAGTAGCCCGCGAATTGCAGTCAGCAGCCAACTGCAGCTTCAAACGATTTTTCTTGATTTCAGCAGCATTTTGGGCTGGCAACTTTCAGCCATTTCGCCATCGCCTCGCTGCCAACTCCTCAGCTTTGTGTGTCGGCGAGCATTAGAAAATAATATTTTATACGCTTCACTTGCAATTTTTCTTGTAGTGCTCGCGCTTGGCTGCGCCATCCATTGCTCCTTCAGCTCGACGCTGCTGCTGCTGCTGCAGACTCTACAACACAGTGCCAGCTTGTACGTGTGTCGTTCTCTCTCAGTGTGTGAGTGTGTGTGTGTTTGTGTGTGGTTGAAGTAACGCCGCCATATTGTCGGAGTTGTTGATGTTGAAAAATGTAACATGCCAGAAATTGCTGGTTACCCACATGGAAATTACGTTGCATGTTTCATTGAGCCAACCGACTGAACAATCGTCTTCGACTTCTGCTCTGACACTGGCTGCGGTGTCAGCGGTGCGATATGCAAAAATTTAAGCACAGTGGTGCTAAGATGAAGTGGCACAGTATTTGCATAGCAAAAGTCTGTTAGCTTAGCGCTGCCTCATGAATGAACAAAAGGAGTCCAAATTTAAGCTTTAAGTATTTTCATTTGCAGCATAATCTAAACTAAGAGAACCCGTTAATCAGAGCTCCATTAAAACACTCTCTCACACTTAAACTAATGCCCGGATATCGCCCCCACACTCACTTCGGTTCACTATTCGCTATCAAAGGTACGTATATGCCTTTGGCATGCAACAAAAGCAGCGCAAATGCCGTTAGCTGGCTGCGCGGCCAAAAATCAATTTTATTTGAATTTTACAATTTAACCATAAAACCACAGAAAGCATTTTAAACGCATTTTTAATAGACTCAAATATGTGTTTTATAAAAGGCCGCTGGCTCATGCTCCTCATCCTCATCCTGTCTGTCTGTCTGTATGTATTTATTTTGCTGCCTGAACGCATCAATGTTTCAATATATATTTATATTGTTTGTAACAAAATTTGCGCATTTACAAAAGCCATTGAATGCAGCGGCAAAAAACGCGCTAAAATTATCGTTGGCTTTTGGCAGCAGGAGCAGCAGCAGCAGGAGGAGCAGCAGGAGCCGCTTCGCTTTACTCTGGCATTTTATTTTGCTGATGGAAAATTAGTTTTTGTGTGTTGTATAGATTTATCTACCATGTGTATCTCTCTCTCTCCCTCTCTCTCTCTCTCTCTCTGTGTGTGTGTGTGTATTTGTTTGAGTAACTGTGTTGAATGTTTGCAAATAGTCTGCATACTTTCAGAGCTTATACAAAGTCGCGTGCCTTTTTTGTTGACGTGCATGCGAGTACGTTGCTGGCAAACAGCAAATAACAAACAGCAAATATTTGCAAAGACCGAGCATAAATTGTTTACGTGAACGGCAATTTAAGCGAACCAACGATCGGAGCATTAAGTTCGCTGTTAAAAACTCAAATATAGCCAAATTTCAAACCACTCTCGAGCGATGATCAGATAAATATGTATCTACGCCTAATGCCAGTCTGCTGTCAAATAAAGCAGGCATAACTTTTCGCCCAATCCTCTGTGCTGTCCTCTGTGCTGTCCTCGGTGCTTCTGTCGTTGAGCACACATGTCGCTCGCTCGACCCCAAAAACCATAACGCCAACTGACCATGAAATGGAAGTGCATAAAATACATCAATGGGGCTGTAGCCGCTGCCAATTGCACGTTGTGTGGTCAAATAGAAGAATGTTGTTCTAAGTGCCATTGGCACTGCTGGCGACGGACATCGATGTGGCTCCATCCATGGCTGACCCAACCTCAATGCGACGTTCGCTGGTAGCCGGGGCAACACGTTAAAATGCTGGCATTTGGGGTTGGAGCCACGTCTCCATGGCTTTCAACACGGTCTCTGTCCATTGCCGTCTCACCTTTAGTCCAGCATCCCCCGCGCTCTTTGTGCTGCTCCTGCTGGGCTCGCTCAAGGTCTCCGATTCCTTAAAAACAGCGCCCCCTGGTATGCCTGCTATTGAACATTTTCACTGGCGGACCTCGATACCAGCTTTGACATTCTGCACATAAACTCCAGCAATTTAAGCTTATAACAACTGTTCCAAGGCATTTTTCCTCTTCCTCTTCTGATTCTTCTCATTTTTTTTTTCGGCTGGTTTGCGCAGCAGCTGTTGCAGGGTTCGATGCAAACATATTGAAGGGACGCATCCAGAGTTCCGGCCAATGCTGGGGGTATCGTCAGCACCCCGGTTATATTGTAACGAGAATTGCTCGCTTGCTTAGTTCTCTTTTTTCTTCCTCCAGCTTTCAATTGTTTTAAGCACGGGGTTTGGGTTTTGATTTGGTGGACTCGCTGCCACGCGCAATATGTTCGCCAATGAGTATCTGTCAAACAGGAAATCGTTAAGTATGGAAGGCCCATTTCACCAAAATTGCCATTTTTGTTCGAAATTGACAAATGAAATATTCAAATGTTTCCAACTAGAGCTTCAAATCGAAATTTGTTAATGTCGGAACTCTCAATGCAGCTGATAATTGAGGCGAACTCCCTAATATGTGTACATATATTATTTTATATACATATGTTTAAGTGAATTAGAATGCATTGATACCGGAGTGAGTGTATTGATTCCTTAATAAGTTTTCATTCACACTTTTATTTTATTATTCTTTAATGCCAATCAATGATAGTGGAGATATTTTCTTTAAATAAAGACATAATACATCTACTAAATCACCAATCCTTTTTCACTCAATTGGTTCATTAATAATTTAAATATATACAAATAAATCTTTAGCTACACACAGCAAATCAAATCAATGAAAATAAATGAACCTAAATCTAGATTTATTGCTTAACCGCAATTGATAAAAGAGTATTAAAGATTGGCCATGGCTAACGCGCAGCAGCCAATCGTAGCGAATTGTTAAAGCCTTTGCTGCTTGAATGGCATCCTTTAGGCCGTCAAGTGCGAGCTGCCTGAATATGTGGCCAAATATGTAGTCGCTGCAAATCCGTTTACAGGCACAATCTAGGTAAATGCTTCCAGCTCACACACTGACACTTTGACTGGCGCCCATTTGCTCCATTTCCACTTCTATTTCTATTTCTATTTCCATAGCCATTTCCTTTGCCATTGCCAAAGCATCCCCATGGCTCGATCCATGGCCATTGCTATTTTCTACGTGCCCGGCCAACTGCTGGGATGCCAGCAGGTGCAGGTGCTCTGGCCTGCTTAGTTGTGTTCGTGCGTCCGTTCTTGCGCCACTTTTGGCCAGTCCAAGACCGAGCGAAAAAAGACTGTTTGTGCTCCTTAGTTGAGATTGGGCCGGGACCTGCCTGCCATTGGGTGGCCGTATCGGAGTCGGAGTCATGGCCCTGGCGTCACGTGGTCACAACATAAAAACGTGATGAAATTTCACAAAAATAAAAGTACTCTCCCCCCCTTCCATCCCTGCCTCCCATCCTCTCATCCAGCCCCCATACAGAGGCCAGTGACAACGACAGCGGCCAGCATTTGCTGTCGATGTCGAATTGTGGGCGTGTGGTGCCGGGGCGGTGCTCTGCTTTTACGAGCACGGCCATGCGATTGCTTGACATGGCTAAATGTGCCTTAGCAGCGTAAATAAGTAGTAAAAAATTTATAGGATTTGCGCTCTTGGCTTGGGAACAACAGTTGCAAAGGTTTTGGTGTGAAACAAAAACGCGCACAATTAATAAAAATTCTTTCGGGTTTGATAGAGAGTCGCCGGGCGACGAACCT